TAATTACATCCCAAAGGCTTCACCTCCCAAAACCATCACATTAGAAATTAGCCTTCGAGGGCCGGCCGAGTGGCGCGATGGTTAAGAACTGGCTTGGGATGCCAGAGTGCCCCGGTTCGGATCCCACATATGAGGGCCAGTGACACTGCCCTCCACAGCTAAGGTGCTGAACAACAGCTCAACCTGGAGCTGGGCTGCCGTGAGTCGCCGGCGACGGCGTGGGCTGCAGCCCCTGTGGCAGTGGACTGCCATGGGCTACCGTGTGTAGCCAGCAGCCAGCGTGAGCGGCCAGCAGCTGCAGTGAGCGGCTGTCCAGAGGCCGGCGACTGATCTGCCTCTCCTGGGAACAGCGCAATGATGGTGCCAACTTGGGCCAGTGAAGCAACGTCCTCCACAACTAGACTGAAGAACAAAACGACAGCAACTTGTCTGTTCCCCTTCCCCCAATTCCCCAGCGCTGTTCCCATCCCCCCAATTCCCCAATAAAAGTCTTTAAAAAAAAAAGAAATTAGCCTTCGAGGGTAAAGGGAGTCAAACATACGGTGACGGAAGGACAACTGACTCTGGATGGTGAGCACACAATGCAATATATAAAGTATTATAGAATTATACACTAGAAACCTATGTAAATTTACTCACAATGTCACCCTAATAAATTTAACTTTAAAAAGTACCTTTACTAATATTAAAAAAACCTTTTAACTAGTAAGCAATTTAAAAACTTTGATTTAAAAAAGTCAGTTCATAATTCTATCCCCCTCCCCAATATTTCAAGGTTCAGATTCAATCTTATACTCATCTTGAGTTTAACAGAGATGTCTTCCTTCATTTGTTTTAGCCTTGCTTATTTACATATTTACATACCTTTCTACATATCAAGTGGGGTTTTAGGATTTTTCTCAACTTAATCAATGGACATTTAAAAGAATTAACTGATTGGAACAGTTTTCCTTCTTGACCTTTTAATTATCTACCAAGGAAACACTGACTCAGTACTCACACAAAACAGAGCACCATATATCACACTTAACGGAATTGTACTCTACATTTTATTTGTCCTTATTTTCACTGGTGTTGGCTCATCTGAATTTTTTTCAGTTCTCATTAATTCTGAATAATTCTGTTATAACTTAGTGTCTACAGCCATTTGGATATCATTTGTTCAAACTTTGGCTACTTATATAATTAAAAGAAAAAAACAACTTTGGCTACGTATACTCTTCATCTGTTACCATTTTTTCTTTTTTTTTAAAGATTTTATTGGGGAATTGGGAGAGGGGAACAGCGCTGGGGAATTGGGGAACAGACAAGTTGCTGTCATTTTGTTCTTCTGTCTAGTTGTGGAGGACGTTGCTTCACTGTCCCATGTTGGTATTACCATTGCGCTCTTCCCGGGTGAGGCAGTCGCTTGCTGGCCATTGGACAGCCGCTCACGGCGGCTCTTGGCAGCTCACGCTGGCTGCCGGCCACTCACACCGGCTGCCAGCCACTCATGGCAGCTTATGGCAAACCACTGCAGCAGGGGCTGCAGCCTATTCCATTACTGGAGACTCACGGCAGCCGAGCTCCAAGTCAAGCTGTTGTTCACCATCTTAGCTGTAGAGGGTGCAGCGTCACTGGCCCTCATATGTGGGATCCGAACCGGGGCCCTGCTGCTCAGCGCTGGTGTCCCAAGCCAACTAGTAACCAATGTGCCACTTGGCCGGCCCCTGTTACCATTCTTTTTAAAAGTCCATTCTAAATATATAATAATATGCAAAGTAAAAAAAAAGAAATTAGCTTTCAACATGAATTTGGGAGGAACACAAACATTCAGTCTATAGCAAGTGTCTTTGCAGATGTAATCAAGTCAAGATAAGGCCATTAGGGTGGAGTCAAATACAATATGACAGGGATCTTTATAACAAGTGGGGAATATGGACACAGACTCAAAGAGAAAGGAGAATACCATGACACGTGAACACAAACACAGAGGAAAGAGGGCCACGTGAAGATGGAGGCAGAGGTTGGAGTGATGCTGCTAGAAGCCAAGGAATGTGAGAGGTGACCAGAAGTTGCAAGAGGCAATGGACGATTCTGCCCAAAACCACGCAGAGGGAGGTGGCCTTGCCAACACCTTGATTTCTGACTCCTGGCCTCCGGAACTGGGAGACAGTTTGTGGCACTTAATCACAGCAGTCCTAGTAAAATGATACAATTGATTCAAATGAAAATGGTCAAAATTCACCAAATTCAAAGACTGAGTGGGTTTAAGAAAACATGATCTGAGTATATGCTGTCTAAAAGAAACTCACTTGACACACAATGACATAGGTAAGTTTAAAGTAACAGAATATAAAAAGACAAACCATGCAAACATTAATAAAAAAAGCATGGGTTAAATCGATATATATTGACCTGGGAGTATATCCACTGAAGTCTGAGAAAATCATACATACATAGACACACATCTGTATGTGTATTATATGCATACAAACATACACACTCATGAAGAAGGTGTGAAAGGCTACACAAATTGGTCCCCTCAGGGTTACAAGGGAAGGGGAGGAGATATGAAAGGGGAAAGATTATTAACCTTATCTTTTTATATTTGGGGATTTTTTCACTTGTTCCTGAGTACATACTGTATTTGTAATTTTTTAAAAAAAATGCAAATAAGTAAATTTTTTGAGGAGAAATTTTCCCCTCAAACTTACTTTTGGTCTTATTCTCTACTTTGGTGAATTGGTATTATCATTTACTCCCAAGACAAGAGACCTGCAGGTAATTCTAGATCCTTCCTTTTCTGTAATCTTCCATCCTTCCACCTAGTCTCCAAATCCAGATTTTAATTCATAAATATCCCCTACCTTCCTCTAGTTAATCATATTCCTGTCAATTCTAGTTTCTAAATGTCTTTTAAATCCTTTCCACTCTTTACCACCCCTGCTCCTAAGGACTGTATCATCTCAACAGCCTTTAAAATAATCCTGTTTTACTTCCCCACCCAATCTCTCTCAGACAACGCTTTCAGAATCATCTTTCTAAATAGTTATAGTGTACGCTTGTTGATGCACAAATGAAAATATTTTTATTTTAACAGGCATATTTCGACTTTAATATTCATAAGAAACTTATGATTTCAAAGGTATTATTGGTTAAATTTAGTAAGTTAAAATGGCGAAGGTAGAATATGACCAAGTGAAGCTGGAAAACATTGGTCTATAAAGGATAAAGCCCAGTGATCTGGTCCCACCCCGCCTTTTCAACTTTGTCATCATTAAGGTACCATTCCAATTAGAGAGAACTTTCTGATAGCCCCCAAACCTGCCATGTACTTCCATTCCTCTCTGCCATTCCTCATGCTGTTCTCCTCCTACCTAGTAAATGCCTCCTTTTCCTTCAGTATTCAGCTCAAATATTTCTTCTGTGAGGAATTTTTTGCACGTGAATGTCTATAGCACTTTATTAATAATTACTGGAAACTAGAAGCAACCAAGATGCCCTTCAGTAAGTGAATGGATGAACTGTGGTCCATCCAGACAACAAGATACTGCTGAGTGATAAAATGGAATGAGTTATCAAACATGCAAAAACATGGATGACACTTAAATGTATATTTCTATGTGAAAGAAGCCAGTCTGAAAGGTCTACATACAGTATTGCATTCATGTGACATTCTATAAGAGGCAAAACTATAGTGAGAGTAAAGAGATCAGTGATGCCTGGGACTTTGTGGGGAAGGAAGAGGGTTGACTAGGTGAAGCACATGGTGAATACTTAGGGCAGTGAAACTGCTCTTATGAGACTGTCATGGTAGACACTTCCAGGTTTCTCAAAACCTATAGAATTTCATAGCACAAAGAGCGAAGCTTAATGTGTGCAATTAAAACAAAAATAAATTAGGAGAACAAGGGATACAAGGTCAGAATGCAGAATGTAAAATAAGAGTTGAACGGCATCACAAGTTCATGAAACAAGCTACTGAAGTGGGTAGGGGCTGAAGGTGCAAACCTGCATAACTGTAAATGAGTGATGCCTGTGAGATTACAGACAAAGGGGACTGTACCAAGCACTCTATCCAGTTGGTACAGCTGTTTCCCATGTGGGTACTGGTTAGCAATTCTGCAACCACTATACATCTATATGGAACTGAACACTAAGGAAGCACATGGTGGATTGTAGAGCCAGGAGCCTCCCTGTTGGAGAGGGAAGGTACAGATGAGCAAAGGGAAGAGGCTAATATGGTCCATGTGGTAATGGAGAAATCAGTATGCACTCATGTTTAGCTTAATACAGATGCATTTGTAAATATTTATACATGTGTTGTTAAATTAATTAAACAAAGAGGCCAGCAGATAAAGTGACTTTAATATGGTGGTGGCCGATGCAAGCAAATCAAAATCTAAACTTATAAATGACTCAAGGCTATGAAATCAAAATGCTAGGGACAAACAATCACAAACAGCCAACTAGGCTTTAAGCTATTGCAAATAAACAATTTCCTTACTTTGCTTCCACCTTTTCTCTACCCACAGTTTGGCTCTGCCTGATTGGAAGGGATTTTTGCTCAAACAAACTCTCTCAAATTTTAATATGCCTCAGTTTACCTTCCAACAGCTTGGTGTGAGAAGAGGGAATGAAGGAGAGCCCCTACAGCCCCCAGGAGCAAGGGGTGACCAGGCCAAGGCACCCCCCTGAGCCCAGGAGCTCCCTGCCCCCTCACTGCTTCTGGAGGCCCTGGGCAAGCCCTCCACCACCACCACCACCGGCCCCTCAGCCTTTGCATTATGAGCTCCCAGATTCCATTTCTTTCTGTGGACTGGGTCTGACCAACAAACCACACTGGGCTGAGGATTTTTTTTCTGCCAGCAAACCTATAGCACCTCTATAGTAGTGCTTGCACTTTATAATATGGTAATTCTTTGTTCATATTTTTGTCCTCCCCATAAAGTCATGAACTCTTCCTGGACAAGGACTAAACCTTACCCAAGTTCTTATCTCAAAATTTCACAAAATACCTGGCGTAAGTAAGTCCTCATGAAATGTAAGGTGACCAAAAGGACTGAAGTCTGGAATCTAGGGTCAACGAGAACATTCCCTAAAGGTAAATATGCTTTGCGTGTTACTGCAGCTTCCTGTCTTCTTTTGGACACCGCCTTGGTCACCTGGGAAAGAACACAAAGGTCAGAGTCATGGAGGTTTCAGGGATATGAACAAAACAGATTAGAAAGGCTTAAGGTCAGGCCAAGGTTGCCCCAACTGGCACTAAGTTGACTGTTCTGCCAGCTGCTTCTGTCTCTGTGGACCAAATCTCCCCATCTTCCCTGTCTATCTGCTTTCTGACTATATGGGGTGAGGACACCCTGCAATTGTGGCTTCAGCCTACTTCTGGGGTCAGCAAAAGTGTCCTGGATGTGAGGTAGCAGAATGGATATTGCTCTGCTGAGGCTTAATTTCTGGGTTACAGTTTGGAGCTCTCTGGATTGGTATTTCCATTCTAGATAAGGCACAGTGGTTGTGAAAGGTTGTTCGTGATGGTGGAGGAAATAGATGCAGGTGAGGGGAGAGGGAGAACTAGGTTGACTGTCATCATGCAAATGTCACATGGAAAACATTTAAACACTTCGGCTTAAGGTCAGCTGTGATGATAGCCCCACTTCCTGTAGGAATGCTGACAGGGCAGGCAGAGAGAACTGGGGAAAGGTTGCAGGTCCCTTACGTGACAGACCTGGAGCTATCCCTCCCTCCAAATGCCCGTCCCTCTCTTCACACGAAATACAGCCCTTATGGTTTATTATCTCTGCGTGGTCTTTGGTTACACACCCTGACAAAGGGCGCAGTGCATAAGGGTTGCATGTTTCCAGCTTCCTAGAGGCTGCTTTCTTGGGAAACAGCCCCCACAGTCCATGAATAGGCAATATAGCATCGCTCTGCCATGAAACTGTTAACATAGAAGGGTTTGTATTGAAAATTCGTTTTTGACTTTTTAGTTATTGTTTAGGGAATGGGAAATGGTGCCAATCAAGAAGCACTAGATAAAATGGGGCCTCAAGACCATTTATTAAGCTTTTTTTCCTTTAGCTACTTGATTCTGAAAGCCAGGAAGGATTTGGCAGATGTGAGGGCTGGAGTGTATGTGTCAGATGGCTCATTATAGAAAAGGCAAATATGAAGGTATATGCTATACATCGGGACTATGAAGCTGAGCTCACTAAACTCAATATCCAACATTTAAAAAGATGTTTTCCATTTAAAATAATACATGTTAATTATAGAAAACATGGGATATGAAGTTCTCTAGGTGACTCTATCTGTATTCACTCTCTAAAGCAGGCTTTCTCAAACATTAACGTACATATCACGGGAAGCTTTAATGACCACGACACAGAAGCTTGTTACAAGGCAGCTTCCTAGATCCTAACCCAAGAAATGGACTAAGTCAATCTGGGAATCTGAATTTACATAAGCATACCAGGTAATGCAGAGGGGCCACACTTTGAGAACTTGAGCCTAACGGTACAGCCTCATTCTTAGCGTATGGACCAATGATTCTAAATTTCTTCTTATTTCATCTTTCCTTCCTTTAGCAATCTTATGCATTGAGGTAGTTCCAGTGTCCATGGATAAGATTGCTAAAGATTCCTGAATATTTATTTCTACCCTCAATTTGGAACCAAGTTTATTACTACTTGCAAGATACTATGTGCCTTGCCAGCACCTCGAACTCAACATGTTCAAAATTGAAGCCATTAGTCACTCCATGAATAGCAGCTTCTTACTATGTACCCGAAATTATGATAAAGATCTGGGATAGAAAGATGAATTAAAATATAGTCCTTGCCTTTGAGATTCTCTCATGCTATACACCGTGATAAAAAAAAGAATACATTCTATACTAGAAGTATGTATACAGTATTATAGAGACACAAATGCCAGAGCAATTAGTTCTGCCTGGGAGGTAGAGGATTGGGTGGTAAGGGCTCTACTCTAAGGGAAGATATTATAAGGAGCATGTCCCTGAATTCCCTGACAATACATTCATAAACTATATCCTCTGGCCATTCAGCTATTGGAAACTTACTAATTTTATATTAATTTGTACTAGATTTATAATGAGTTAAGTATGGTTGTTTCCATGTCTTGGCCACTGTAAATAAAGCTGCAATGAACATTGAAGCACATATACCTTTATAGACAAATGTTTTCAGATTTTTTGGGTAGATACCCAGGAGATGGATTGCTGGGTCATATGGGAATTCTATTCTTAATTTTTGGAGGAACCTCCACACTGCCTTCCATAGCGGCTGCACCAATCTGCATTCCCACCAACAGTCTATGAGGGTTTCTTTTTCTCCACAGCCTCTCCAACATTTATTATTTGTCTTGTTGATGAGAGCCATTCTAACAGGTGTGAGGTGGTATCTCATTGTGGTTTTTATTTGCATTTCTCTGATGATTAGTGATGTTAAGCATTTTTTCATATGTCTATTGGCCATCTGTATGTCCTTTTTGGATAAATGTCAATTCAGGTCCTCTGTCCATTTTTTAATTGGATTGTTTTTGTTGTTGTTGAGTTGTATGAGTTCCTTATATATTTTGGATATTAGCCCCTTATCGAAGGCACTATTTGAAAAAATCTTCTCCCATTCAGTTGGTTGCCTCTTTATTTTGTTGATGGTTTCTTTTGCTTTGCGGAAGCTTTTTAGTTTGATATAGTCCCATTCATTTATTTTAGCTTTTACTTCCCTTGCCTTTGGGGACAAATTCATGAAATCCCCTTTGAATCCGAGGTCCATAAGCTTAGTACCTATGTTTTCTTTTATGCAGTGTCCTTCGATAGATGATTGGATACAGAAGATGCAGTATATATACACAATGGAATACTATTCTACCATAAGAAAAGATGAAATAGTGCCATTTGCAACAACATGGATGGATCTTGAGATTATTATGCTAAGGCAAAATAAGTCAGATAGAAAAAGTGGAGAACCATGTGATTTCACTGATACGTGGCATATAAAACTGAAAACAACAAAGGAACAAGACAAACAAAGAAACAAAAACTCATAGTCACAGACAACAGTTTAGTGGTTACCAGAGGATAAGGGGTGAGGGAGGTGGTAGAAGAGGGTAAAGGGGGTCAAATATATGGTGATGGAAGGAGAACTAACTCTGGGTGGTGAGCACACAATGTGATATATAGAGGATATATTACAGAATTGTACACTTCAAACGATGTAATTTTACTAACCATTGTCATCCCAATAAATTTAATTTAAAAAAGAACTCTGACAACTCAAAAGTAAAAACACAACCTAATTTTTTAAAAAACAGAGATTTCAATAGACATCTCTTCAAACAAGATATTCAAATGGCTAACATGCACATGAAAAGATGCTCAACATCACTAATCATCAGGGAAATGCAAATCAAAACTACAATGAGATACCACTTCATACCCACAAGGATGGCTATAATCAAAACAACAGATAATAATAAGCATTAGGGAGGGTGTGGAGAATTTGGAACCGCCCCATAAACTACTAGTGGGAATGTAAAATTGTACAGACACTGTGGAAAACAGTTTGATAATTCCTCAACAAGTTAGATATAGAATTACTATATGACCCAGCAATTCCACTCCTATGTATATACCCAAAAGAATTAAAAACAGGTGTTCAAATAAAACCTTGAGCATGTATGTTCATAGCAGCACTAGTCACAATAATCAAAAGGTGGAGGGCCGGCCGAGTGGCGCGATGGTTAAGAGCTGGCTTGGGACGCCAGAGGGCCCCGGTTCGGATCCCACATATGAGGGCCAGTGACACTGC